GTGCAAATGAACATCAGGACAAAAGGCCTACACCTTCTTGTCATGTCTTTTGTTTCCTTTCCTGTACTTCCTGCCCGCCCACCCTCCCTCCCTCCCTTCCTTCCTTCCTCCCTCCCTCCCTCCCTTCCTTCCTTCCTTCCTTCCTTCCCACTTTCCCTCCCTCCTTCTCACTCTCTTTCTTCCTTTCTTTCTTTCTTCCTTCCTCCTTCTCTCTCTTTTCTCTCTTCTTTCTTTTTCTTTCCTCTTTCTTGCAGTGTGGTTGACATACAATATTCTATTATTTCAGGTGTACAACATAGTGATTCAACATTTATATACATTAGGAGTTGTTACCACAGTTGTTACCTGTTACCCCGATAAACCTAGCTACTTTCTACCACCTTACAAAGTCGTTACATATTATTAACTATATTCCTTATAGTTTGTACATTGTATCTGTGTCTTTTTTTTCTTTCACTTTTTAACTGGAAGACTGCATCTCTTTATCCCCTTCCCCTATTTTGCTCATCTCCCCAGCCCCTCTCCTCTGGTAACTATCAGATTGTGCTCTGTATTCATAGGTCTGTTTCTGGTCTGTTTTGTTTGTTTTGTTTTTTAGATTCCAGCTAGGAGTGAATTCATATGGTATTTCTCCCTCTCTGTCTGACTTCCGTCACTTAGCCTCATACCCTCACATGCTTTCCTTTCAATCCTTGGCTTCCCCACCCTCCCCCATTCTCTTTTCTGCTTTGGCACTAGAGTACTTCTTTGTTTGTTGCGTGCATGTGTGTGTTTGTGTGCGTGTGTGATTTTCACTGTCCTTTCATGATATCAAGCTGGAAGAAGAGAAGTATGACCACCACTAAATCTCCCCTCCCCAAAGGATGCTTCCCATCCAGATGAGGAATTTTTGCACTGTGCAGTACTTTGAAGTATCTTGAATACAGACACCCAAACCAAACAGGATAGAAGCCCACAACACTGCAGAAATGTATCCAAAGTCGCTCAGTTGTGGTTGCTAGAATATTTGCAGATTAACCTCTCATGCAGCAACCTAACAAATCCAGGGTTGGCAGATGCAGAGATGCAAATACGCCCTAAATATATCTTCAACTTCTAACCAAAGAACAGATTGCCTTATGTGTGTCTTATATGTGCTTATGAAAAATGAGTATTTTAAGCAGAATATTTTTATGGGCTCAGAACATTATTTTTCCTCATGAAGACCAAAGATTGAGAGAACAAATTATATGATGACATGAAATTTATATTTAAATGCTTCATGAATGTATGTGTGCCCATCTTCCCTGTGCTTCTATTCTGTAAATGCAAATATTAAAATTTCAGATCCCATTAATCCTGATTATACCTACCAAAAGTGAAATGAGAATCTTATGAATAAAGAGGAGTCTGGGAACTAACTCAGGAAGTCAAAGATCATTTAGCAAATTTTTTGAGAATTTACCATGGTCCTGTTTTTAGGTTAGTGACATAGTGGATTCAAAGATATATGAAATATATTCTAAGACTTCTGAGAATACGCAACATTATGAAGATAAGTAAATAAAAATTGGTATGCATAAGGTAGAATAAGATAAGTGACATAAAGGTTTGTTGACAATGTATAATTTCAAAGCAAGTGAAATTCTAAAGTGCACTAAAGGAGTGAAGAAAGTATTTCTGAGACACCTTGAGAGATGACTACTTTTCTTGCCATTTTGCTTGCCCCACTTTGCAAAACCTACTCACCCCCGTGCTTTAAATACCAGAACTCTACACTGATGACCCACAAAAGTCTACCTCCCAACCCAGATGCACTTGTCGGACACAGACCTTCACCTCCAAATTCTGGCTAGGCATCTCCATGTTCAGGTCCAAGACATATCATACTCACTATGTTCAAAAACTCTGTTTCCCCAGTCTTAAACCATGTCCTGTGTTTCTATTTGGAAAATACCCAAAACCATCTGCCTGTGTTCTCAGTTTCGAGTCTTGGACCCGTCTTCTGTCTCACCCCTATCTTTGAACCACATCTGATTTCTCTTTATTACATGTGCTGTCTTAAGTAAAGTCCTAAATTAAAACAGCCTGGAAATGAATCTCCTTGCCTCCATTGTATGTACTTGCTTATTTTCCCAAGAGAATGTTGCAAGGGTTTACTATCCTTCATATTTTTCTCTCCTGCTTAAAGCATTAGTGTCCTCTATCCCTTACATAGAGAATACAGCCTAAACTTCTTGGCTAAATTTTAAGAGTTTGGCCCTTGCCTATATATCTAACCATTTGTCCTATTCACTTGTACCACATACACTAGCCATTCTGGATATTTTCTTGCACACTCCTACCTTTGCTTATGCAGACCTCTCTGCCTACAGTGCTCTCCTCTCTAGGATGCCACTCTATGAAGAAGTTTTATTCATCATTCAAACACCACCTTATAAGAGCTTTCTCTGACCACTCTTTAATAGAATAGCTCCCCCACTCTTCCCACCACTAGGTCCAATTACCCCATTTTATTTTTCTTCATAACACTTTCCACCTTTAAATAGCTCTTTGTTTAGTTCCTGTGTCCTGGCTATAGAAGATACTTTTAAACTTTTTAAAAGAGAACTACACACGTATTTCAGTGGCTGGTAATATTTGTTGAATTTATTGAATGGAATCCTTCAGATACCGTTCAATCTCATCATTTCCGAGAGAGAAATAGTATTGTCCTTTTATACCAAGGATAACAGTCTACCTCACCTATATGTGCTCATGACTATGTCAGTCCTTGAGACTGAAGGGACTGTGGTTCACCCATATCTTTTAGCACAGAATGAACACCCAATACATATATATTGAATGGAGTTGAATTCGACATACCTAGGGATCTCCACACAATTAAAGCCTTCTCCAATGTAGTGAAATAGATTATCTTTAAGATAGTACATAAAGAAGTAAATGCAAATGACTAAAACTTCAAATGATCTTCAGTTTGGGCATTTCCAAAAGAGAACTTCCTGACCCAGGCAAAACCTGGAAAAGCTAAGAGCCTTCCTTATTTGGAACTACCATTTTTCAGATTTGATGCTCTATATGTTACTTTCATTTCTACCACACTGGCTGAGTCAGGTTAGAGTCATTGACAAGCTCTTCTGTTCCTACCTTGGAGATCCTCATCCAGACTAAGTGAAATTCAGGGTAACAAAATCTTGAAGTGGCACAACTGTTTTTATGAGAATCTTTCAGGCTAATAGGAACTAAAGTGATTTTTTGGAGAGTTCTTTTTTACTTGGTTAGGTTATACTATGTTTTCAGGGTCGGGGATTTCCTTTCATGTTGAAATTTTCTATTAGATTTTAAGTTGCTGAATCCCACTTTATTTTATGGCCACACATCCAGTTAGACTCTAGGTGGTTGGTGCATAATGCAGAATTGCAAAAGGTGGAAGGTTAAAGTTTGAATCCAGAAGATTATTTGGACTGCTTGAACAAGGCATAGTCATCAATATGAAGGAATATTTATTTTACAGATGACCAGATTTGTGAAAAAAAAAAAAAAAACATAAGGGTTTGATTCTACAATGACATAAATTTGTTTTTATTTATGGATACAACAAGAATTTATTAAGCACCAAACTACATACAAAGCACAATGGTAGTGAGGCACCTGAATGGCTCGGTTTGTTAAGTGTCTTGACTCTTGATTTCAGCTCAGGTCATCATCTCATGGTTCGTGAATTTGAGCCCCACAATTGGGCTCTGCACTGATAGTGTAGAGCCTGCTTGGTATTCTCTCTCCCTTTCTCTCTTCCCCTCCCCTGCTTGCTCTCTATCTCTCTCTCAAAAGTAAATAAAAATAAACTTAAAAAAGCATGATGTACACTAAGATGTAATAAAACATGGTCTCTGTCCTCGAAGAGACTCTACTCCCTACCAATGTTTCCTTTTTTATAAACAAGTGAGTTTTATGTGGAACATCTTAATTTTTATTTTTAAAACTAATCTAATGGAATCACTATTTTAATATTATTAATAAATCATATTCTCAGAAATCTGATGCTACAGAAATCTAATATAAATAAAGAGGCAGAGGCCATTGTCCTCCAGGATGTGAGTGATTGTGAAAGCCCCTTCCTCCACTAAAATTTTAGGATTCAGTGACTAATGAACTCCCTAATATGGGCAGCTGGGTGACTCTGTCAGTTAAGTGTACAAGTCTTGATCTCAGCTCAGGTCATGATCTTACAGTTCCTGGGTTCCAGCCCATGCTGACAGTGCAAGCCTGCTTGGGATTCTCTCTCTTTCCCTCTCTGACGTGCCCCCGCTCCCTCTCTCTCTCTCCCTCAAAATAAATAAGTAAACTTAAAAAAATTTAAAATGAATAGGAAGATGACATTGCAAGCCTTTATGAAGTTGTATGAAGAAACAGTATAATTTGGAGATACAGACAAAAGTGCCATTTATTTTTTATTTGATACCTGAAAAAATATTAATGCTTCTAACTTTGTTTTGTGAAAACACCTTTCATGGTAAGCAGATTTAAAAATCCTTGAGTGTCTTCAGTGCTGCAAATCACATAGTTCAATACTCTGGATAAATTGCCTGTTGTTCAAACTGTCTAGGCCAATTCTCAAACTTGCATTTATAACAAATAATTGAATTCCCCTAGATCAAAAATCAATTCCATACTCTATAAAAGTCACACCTCAATTTAGAAAATAAAATTATTTAATTTAAAATATAGTTTTATGAAATTTTATGAAACTGATGTTTGATCAAATACCTATTCATTTTAATAGGTTACAAAATCAATAGCAGCTTGCTGATGTATGTGAAGATTTTGGAAGAAATTGGGGAAAAGCATTTGACATTCGGTATAATTAATACTCTTCTAGATTTGAACACAACATAGCTTTACGGTATAAAGCACCCAAGTCTAATCCTTCAGGTACAGTTGCCTTTATAGGCCGTAATCAAACATTCTCAGGACAAAAGAAATCTGCCTCTATACATACTTATTCTTAAGAGAGCAAATACCTTTGGTAGCCCCGTTGTTCCAGATGTGTAAAGAATATAGAGCGGATGTTCTGAAAGAACAGGGACGCAGTCCTGTGACTGTGCTTTGGCCATCTCTTCATCCCAATCAAGGTCACGACCGGGAGCCAAAGGAACGGTCTCCTACACAGAAAGTATACAGGGATATGCACTGAATAAAGGAGGTAAGAACAGTGGAGACTGGCTGAATCTGTATTAGTCTGAGCATATGACTAGAAATCTATATAGCACTAAATATCAGAGTGAGGACTATATATTTCAAGGTCATGAGTTAAAATAAATATTCCTAAAAAGTCCAACAGTTTGATGTTGGCTTCAACAAAAGGACATGTTTTATTCAAATCTAAGGAAATACTTAAGAAATTCAATGTGATGCAGTCATGTTTTCATCAACAGTTAGAGCTTAACAAACAGAGGTTCCTGTTTTCCATAAACATACATACACCATTAACTTTATAAACCAATTTCTATCTTTATAACTTTTCTTTTTATTTTGGAACTGAAGCCTTTTCAATATAATGTCAACTAACCCATTAAAATTTCTCTTTATATAAGGGCCTCTTAGACTTAACACTATGGCCATCTTTCCAAATGAAGAAATCATTTTCAAGGGTGGAGGAGAAATCTATTTTTGTTTTTTCAAGAACAAAAATTAGTTTTGAGAATTAATGAGCATACATGACATATCTAGAATGCTACCCAATTTTTCCCCAAGTCATTGATTAATATGGTAGAAATGTTTGTTTTCTTTTTTGTTCCTAGAACCGAGCTCTGTGTTATATACCTTATGATAATAGTCATGAGTTAGTCAGAGACATCTTAAAAAGAATTAGATCTCTTTACTTAAAATGGTGCCAGTGAAGTAAGGCAGATAGATAAAGAGTAGCCAAGTGCCTGGCAGGAGAATTATTCTAACGGAGGGTCACAGTTCTGTAAATAGAATTAAGACTCCGTACATGTCTAATTATTTTCAGAAATGTTAACTAAGCTCCAGATGACACACCAGAAAGTTTACACTTAGAGAATTTATTGTATAGGCGACACATTCCTCAGTGAGAGTTACTAAGTAAGATTCACGACTTAAAATTTATGTAACCATTTATTTCATCCAGGTGATCCCTGAGTGAAACTCAGAGATTCTGAGGGATTTAGGAAAGCCAGGCCATTTCTATTTTTCGGGCTCCTTAATATATTAATCAGGGTTGCAAAAAATGGTCACATATTTAAATAAGTACATTTACAAAATCACACTTTAATATAATGTCACAAATAAAATGCCTCTGAGAATAAATACATTAATAGATAAGCATCAGAGTTGAACTTCATGAAGATGAAGTTTAAAGCCCAATCATCCTCTCCAGCCTCACTCTAATGAACCTGGAATGTGCCACTGAGATAAATAAAAATAGTAAACTGTAACTAAATTGTATTTTTCCATTTGTTTTTACGAATCAGATAAACACAACAAATTTCAACTTGCCAAGACTTTTGCATTACAATTACAGACCTATAAAAAAATTATCACAGTCTATAATGAAAAATGTCAATTGGATGATCACATAAAATGTTTACTGATACACAAAATAAGACTTGAATGAATGGTTATTCTTCAGACTAAGAACATCCTCTATAGGTGTGTGTAAAGATGATTTGATAAAAGAAAGAGAGGGAAAATCAGCATTAGCTACATCTGTACATTTGCTTCTATAGATGTGTCCTGTTATTATTCTTAAAAGGTAATATTGGCAGAGCACCAGAGTTGACTCCTGTGGTATTCCTTTGATTCTGTCATTGCTTGCTTGAAGCCTAGGAGTGGCAGCCAGGTTTTTACCTCCTTTAGCAAAAATGCAATCCTGATTAATGAGACACACCACCGAGACTCATAATTTGTATCTCAAAGCTGAAAACAAATCCAGTCCATTGAGTTTAATTACTAACTAAACAGCAGTCCAACTATAAAGGACAGGAGACATCCAAAGCCCTCATCTAAAATAAAGACAAGTTGGGGCACCTGGGTGGCTCAGTCGGTTAGGTGTCTGACTCTTGATTTCAGCTCCATTTCATGGAGCCCCACTTAGGGCCCATGCTGACTGTGCATAGCCTGCTTGGGATTCTCTCTCTCCTTGTCTGTCTCTCTTCTCCTCCCCTGCTTGCATGCACTTGCTCTCTCTTTCTCTCTCTCCCTCTCAAAACAAAGAAACATACTTTAAAAATAAAATAAAATAAAATAAAGATAAGTGAAAATAGAGGGAAGAGCCTCAAGAAAAGGGGAAAGGGAGAGAAAGTAAACCAGTTGTGGGAGGGAGGGATTGAAGAGTGGGCCTCTACCTATTAGGAGGAAAAGAGAAGAAATTTGCATTAGAAAAACCTGAATAGGAAACTTGCATACCCATAGTCAGTGTGCTTATAAAGTAAAAGAAATAGCATATATCTTGTTGGATAAAAGTCACTAGACCAAATCCAAACCTTGACATCACTTATTGGCTGTGACTTTGGGCTCTGACCTCTCCTTAACTCACTTTCTTCATCTACACAACGGGACCAGTAATAGCATCTACTTCATTGGTTTGTGAAAATTAGATAAGAATTATTTGCAACTATTTAGCTCTGCGTCTAGCATAAATTCTTTACAAATTCATGACTATCTGTATGTGTGAATGTCCCACACATACTCACATAATTAGCACACACATACTCACAGAAACACCTGTGTATACGTGTATGTGTTTCTACTTTTCCTCTAACCATCTCATACCCAAAGCCTCTTTGTATTCCTTAACTTAACAACAACAAGCCTTTTTAAAAAATATGCTTGAGGGCATCTGAAAGAAATTCAAAATTCTTTGAGACAGTAAGAATATTAAAATCAGCAGTTTATGAACCACAGACTACTAAAACTTTACACAGGAATTTAATGTGGCCATGGGAATTGCTAGGTGGTAATCAAAATGACATAGCTTTAATGCTTTCTCTTCTTGTATCTTGTCACTTAAGCATTTTCTGCAGGTAATCTCTCAAGAGTTCCATAACATTACACGATTCTTTGCACTCTTATAATTTTTCTTCTGCAAAGAATGTTAATGTGCTAGGAGCCCAAGATGGTTCCACTATAAATAGCTGAAACTTCTTGAATATAGAAATAAGGTGATCATTAGATCAAATTTACTAGGAAAAGCACTGTAAAATATATTCATTTTTGTATCATACTGCTTTTTCTTCCTTCATGGATCACAGAATAATTTATGTGCTTAGAATATTCATATTTTGTTTTCCTGAACATAGTTTTTATTGTTTTCCTGAACATAGTTTTTATTTCTAGACTAAACGCCTCTCTAAAGTTTGGAAAGACAGATTTTATATACAAATAATCATACCTCTCCACAAGCAGGAGAGCTGAGGGACCACACATGTGGTCAGAGTACATGTGTTCAGATCATGACCCTGACACCAGCGGGACAAGGTATTTTCTCCCTGTTCATTGAATTCCTCTTACATAGAATAGGAATAATGCTATCACGTAGCTCACAAAGGTATCAGGAAGATTTTTAAAAGTATTCATTAGCAGGATATCAAGAATAATAAGGTAAGCAGGGGCGCCTGGGTGGCTTAGTCGGTTAAGCGTCCCGACTTTCGCTTAGGTCATGATCTCGCGGTTCATGGGTTCGAGCCCCGCATCGGGCTCTGTGCTGACTGCCAGCTCAGAGCCTGGAGCCTGTTTCAGAGTCTGTGTCTCCCTCTCTCTCTGACCCTCCCCTGCTCACGCTGTCTCTCTCTCTCCTAGAAATAAATAAAAATATTTAAAAAAAGAATAATAAGGTAAGCAGCCACTATTTGTTAAAATTATCATTATTGTTATAATTTAAATGAATATATGACACCACAATAGACTATGCAGAGAATCCAATTCATCAACATGATATATTATTACTGTGTGTATTTGAATCTTATTGTCTTAAGCCAGTTTTTAAAATTTTTTTAAATTTTATTTATTTTTGAGAGAGAGAGAGAACAAGTAGGGGGGGGGGCAAAGAGAGAGACACATACACACAGAGAATCTGAAGCAGGTTCCAGGCTCTGAACTGTTAGCACAGAGCCCAACATGGGGCCTGAACCCAGGAACCGCGAGATCATGACCTGAGCTGAAGTCGGATGCCCAATTGTCTGAGCCACCCAGGGGCCCCTAAGCTAGTTTTCTTTTTCATAAAGACAGAAAACATCATTCATACAGTTTTCACTATTTTTGCCAAAATGGTTATATTGAGGAAGTATATTTAATGGTTTATAAATCAAGTATTTCTTTCATAAGGTCAACACTAGAATAAGCCTTGCACATGACCATAAGCAAGAACCAAATTCAATATTCCGATTACCATGTTTGGACGATTATAAATGAGAACGTGATCTGGTTTGTGTTGTCCTAGTCTCAGTGCTTCTTCTAGAAGTGGGATGTATTCTACTCTCCTTCCGGGTTCAATCCCAAAGGATGCTGTAACAACCACCTTGGGCTACAAAGGAAAAATAACAGTAATTGAGAAAGTTTAACAACACCAATTAAGGTAATCACAATATTTCAGGTGCAGATTGGCATTTTGACATTTCTAAAGAAATGCTTAAATGATTCTGTTCTCCACTTAATAAATGGCCTGAAAATAAAAAATTCCTTTGTAAATGTTGTAGAGCTAACAACTTCCACATAGATCTCACCTGTTCAAAACTGTAAGTTCAGTGAGGCTTCGGGCTAGTGAGTATGAGCTGTTTAAAAAATAATTCCCAGTGGCACTTGGTGGCTCAGCCAAGTAAGCGTCTGACTTTGGCTGAGGTCATGATCTCAGGGGTCAAGAGTTGAAGCCCCACATAAGGCTGTCAGCGCAGAGCCTGCTTGAGATCCTCTGTCCCCTTTTCCTTTGCTTCTCCCCCCTTCTCTCTCTCTTTCTTTCTTTCTCCCTCTCAAAAATAAACATTAAAATTTTTAAATAAAAATAAAAAATGATTTCCAAAGAATTCATGAAGCCAGATAGATTTGCCCTGAACCAGTGAAATGGAAGCCTAGGGGCCCCTCATTACCAAGGTCCCAGTACCCACTGGTTTTTGTGACATTGTAGTGTTTCTCAGGTGGGGAGAGCCAGCCAATGGCAATCAGGAAGCATTAGTACATTTTTAAATGTCAGCATCTCTGCTTAAATGTGACCACAGAAAAAAGGGGACCCAAATCTCTGATTTTTTTTCATGATTCTTTACTCATTCTAAAAATGTCCATTTTTGCCAAATACTATATTTAAAATTTTGTTGTATTTTTCGTAAAAGGGCCCCCAACTGATTTAAGCTTCAAGCCCCACAAGCCTGAACCTGCTCCTTAAGATACACTCAGTATTTTCTTTACCTGACGACTTGCTAGTCCTTTTTCAAGATATACAGAGATGTAGCCAAAAGGGGTCCCTGGAGGAAGCTTAAGAAGTTAGGGTCACTCTCCATTCTGGGCAGGCCTCAGATGCCCAAGTATAGTCAAATGTTCCTTCAGCCGCTGGACAGGAAGCTCGCTGAGGCCAAATCTGGACCCCAATTAACTCTGTGTCTTCTAAACCTCGTATAGTGCTTGTTTACCATTCAGTAAGCTCTCAATAAAAGTTTTTGGAACTGAACCAAAATTCTCATTAATTTGCAGAAACAAACACGTCTTTATTCTTTTAAGTACACTGTTTCTTCACCAAGAAATCCAAAGCAAAGGAGGGAGCTAATAAATTATTCAAGAGACAGATAATCAATCCAAGACAGTGCATCTATTCCTGAATTCTGATTTCCAGTTACAATACATTTTATCTAGGGAAGGTTTATATTATACCAAATATATGCATATATCATTACTGTCTGCTTTTTGAATATCGTTTAATATTCATGGAGCTCAGGCCCAGTATAGTGACATAGTTTGTCCCAGGTTACAAGTAGCAGAATTAGAAAGAAGGCCGGTTCTGTCTGATTACGGAACCTGTCTCTTCCCGCTATATCAACCTACCTTTTTTAAAAGACACACACACACACACACACACACACACACACACGAAACAGAAAAAGAAAAAGGAAAGGAAAGGAAAGAAAACAGAAATAAGTCTTGTTTCCTTTTATTATATTTTTAAAGATCCAGCACTTGAATAGAATTCACATTTTACTATCTATGATACACGCGAAAATAACTCTAGGCAACATTTCCTAAGATTAGATTTCAGAATAAATGAAAGTAAGTTCCATATCAAGTTAAAAATATATATAGAATATATCAAAACATGAATAATTTAATAAAGTCAAAATTAGACCCTTCATTTCAAGAAAAGAATCCTTTCTACATTTCTATTAACAGCCTTTTATTGGAGGTTCTATTTAGTCTAGACTGACTTGTTAGGGTACATTCTTCCCATTGTCAGCTGGTAACAAAGCTTTTTTCTTAAGCCAATTTATTTGAAATCATGACATCAAAATCATTCCTGATTTCAATTCTATCCAAATATCTCAGATATATATCTCTATCTTCTCACGTTTAATTTGTCCTGCTCAAAGGTCTTGCCCATAGGAATATACACTCATTGCCTAACCTGCTTAACACACATTGTGTGTGCATGTGTGTATGTGTGTGTGTGTGTGTGTGTGTGTGTGTGTGTGTGTATGTGGAATGAAAACAGCAAGTGATATAGGATACATTTGATAAATCCATTTTTAAGTATCTAAATTTCCCCATTATTTTTAAAAAGAAAATAATACATCTCATTCTTTTATCTGGATGGTGTTTAGGATTTCTATAGCTAAAAAACTGGAGTCTACAGCTTCGTTGGAGAAGCCACCAACTGCCCACTGGTTTGCAGGTCAGTGACTGATATTTTCCCCTAGAATGACCTTAATAAGTACTAACTCAACAAGTTTAAAAAAGAAAGAGGAAAAATCTAGTTAGTCCACAAACCAGCTTCCTAGTTCTAATAACTGATCTGTTACAAGATGAAGTCACATATGCAAACCCTCACTCTCTATCTCGCACTAGCATCACATATTCGTTCCCTTGTCAGGAATGTCTCATCCGGATTTATGGAACTCTGAAAGCCACCTGTCTCTTATTGCCATAACGACCTTCCTTCCTTAATCTTCTCACTGCTATTACTCAGCCGCACATTGCCCATCACTTCACAAAAAGATCGTCTGCCAAAGGTCTTATTCCACCCTCTCCTCTCTTCTACTCACACCATTTGTAAGAACTTCCACCTCTTAGCATTGCTTACAACAAGACACCCACCTGCTCAAAAACTTTGACAGATCAAGATCTACAGCACCCAGTTCAGACAAAAACTGACTTTGCAAGCTCACCATGTCTCCCTCTCTGGCCTCCTCAGTCTCTTCACTGTCCACCAGATGATTTTACCTTTTCCTGTCTAATGCTGGACTCCTATTCCTTTTCTCTCCTGTTGGATCCCATGCCATCATTCTCCTCAACTAGCTGATTCTTAGCCAAGATCTAACTCAAATCTCACCTTCAGGAAGTCTTCTTCAGCCACTCCAACTAAAAGAAATGGTTCCTTCCTCTAACTCAGGGGTCTACGAGCGATAGTTGAGAGCCAAACTCTGCCCACAGCATGTTTCTGTAAGGCTTCTCTGGGACACTGCCATGCCTTCTGCTTACGTAGTGTCTAAGGCTGCCCGTGTGCTACAACAACACAGCTGAGTGCTTACTGCAGCCACTTGTAATGCACAACACCTACAGTATTTACTATCTAGTAACTTGCCAGAAAAAAGTTTGCTGACTTATAGAGGAATGACAGCTAACCCTTTTTTTTTTTTTTTAAGTGAGTACTATATACGAGGTATTGAGTTAAATGCTTTGAAGGTAATATCTCAGTGATCAATTCACAACAGCCTAATCAAGTTTGTTATCCTAGTACACCCCTTTAAACATGTAACTCTACCTCACTGTGCAACACCATCATTCCTGGAGGTGTGTAAATTATAAAACTTTATCATGCGTTCCATCCATTTGATAAGTATCACTCATTATCCAGATTTAAGGGCAGTACCTGGCATATTGCGGGAAGTTAATAAATGTAGGGTGAATGAATAAGTTGGTTACTAGTTATTTTTCCTGTATGCCTCATACATCCAAATACATGGCAAGCTAACTTGAAAAGTATATACCTAATCTTCTATTTTATATCCTTCACAGCACCTAGCAGGATGTGTTTTACAAAAAAAAAAAAAAAACTGACCCCAAAATAAAATTTCGTTAATATATATATGTCAAAAAATCCGTAAACTTTAAGCATCTCACTGGAAAGGAGAATCTAGTAAGTACAGAGCACTTTCAGATGGTTCATTCACAGATAAACATGGCTGTACTACTTGATTTCTCCAAATAAAGCACCTACCTTTGCATGGTCAATACGACTACTTAGTTCTTTGGATGCAAATCCCCCAAATATGAGACTATGGATGGCTCCTATCCTTGCACATGCCAGCATGGTATACATCGCCTGCGGGATCATGGGCATGTAGATGACCACGGTGTCACCTTTCTTGACTCCATGCTTGACCAAAACACCCGCCAGCTTAGAGACCTACAACAAAATCATTACATCAGCCAAGTGTTTTCTGTGTTATTTCACGAAACTTCTAAGATAGCATCACAAGAAGTTGATCATCCTCTTGGCAGTGGATTAAGGCCTGAGTAACAGATGTGATGATGACGTAAGCTTAGTGACAGTGATAACAGTAATAACAAACAGTATTGCAATAACTGACTATAAACCAACTTACTATTATTATGCTACATGAACTCTATCACTTAAGTTTGCCTAGTTATTAATTCAGCAACATATTTACTAAGCAGCTATGATGTACCAGACATAGTGTTTACAGTTGGGAACACAATGATGAAAAACAAAGGCACAGATATATCCCCATGGATCTTTTATTCTAAAGGGCAAATCTGTCGAGTGAACAGAAAAGTAAAATAATGGCAAATTTGGACATATATTTGCTTAAGTATTAAAAGAGACAAGTACATGTTAGGAAAGAAAACATACATATACTTATAAGGTCAGTAAGATAGATTCTGCTATTATTATTCTTATTTTAAATATAAGGTAACTGAGACTCAGATATAATAAATAGCTAGCTCAGGATCAGAGAGGTAGGAAGTGTAGCGAGGATAGCATCACAAATCTTTTGACCTCATATTCTTTGCCCTTTCTCCTGCCTCAAGCCAATTATTTTTTCTTTATAGTTTTTTATACTAATTATCTATACAAAGTGACCTCCCTGTACATGGAGACCAAACATACAAACTTCTTTTAGCTTTTAACATGTGTTTGGGGAGCCAAAACAAACTGTGAAAACAGACCTAAGTAAAAAGAAGTTCAACATTCTTTCATTTTAAAAATGAATATTGAGAACCTGTATATGGCAGACACTGTTTTCTGATACACCAGTAAACAGGACAAAGATCTCTCATGGTACACCAGTAAACAGGACAAAGATCTCTCATGGTATAGCAGAAGAAATACTTACAATAAACATAGTAAGTAGATGTTCTATTATGTTAAAAGGTCCTGTGGCGGGGGGGTAGGGTAAGATAAAATGGAGGGATTGAGAATGCAGAAGCTTTCATTCTCAATGGGAAGGTGAGGGTAGAGCTCACTCGGAAAGTAGCACTTTAGCAAGGACATGTAAAAGTTAAGAAGTGGATACCTGTGAGTATACTATTTCAGACAGAGAGAACACCAGCACAAAGGTGTAAGGGAGATCATTTGTGATGCGATGGAGGAACAGCAAGGAGAAAGACTAGGGAACTGGGACAGAAAGCACAAGTGAGAAAGTGGTCGTAGATCAGGAAAGAGAGCTAAAGAAAGGGCCTGTAGGAGTCCAGTGGGCAATGGGAAGGTCTATGCCTTGCCTTTGGATGTGGTTGCTCCAGATAATGAACAGAGGAGGCCAGAGACAAGGAATTGGGCCACAGGGCTATTTATGGATCCTTTCGTTTCATTCGGCTTCTCCTACTTTTTCAACTATTTCAAAGGATTTGGGATCCTGATCATTCTTCCTTTTTCTCTTTATTCCCTTCCTTTGTGCAGAGGAGGAAAGATGTGGTCAAAATTAAGGGCTCTGGTGAAAGAAAGTAACAAACAGCTATCTAGTGTTTTATTCTCTCCTTTTTGCACGGTAAAATTTAGTGTTATTTTTTAAGAACTCAAAGCTGCCCAGCAGCAAGTTATGAGAAAGATACATCAAAGTGATATAATCATGAACTTAAATTCTTTCTGGAGCTAAAGACGAAGATAAACCCTGGAAGGTTCGATCTAAATGCTCAGTGTGCTATCCATGCAGAAATGTACTATGCCCTGTGATCACATTACTGGGTATCCCATTGAGCCACAGCACTAGTTGAGACCAAGGAGAAGTCTGTCCTGCCTACAGCTATAACTTCAGCATCTTGAATAGTGTCTATTGTTGAATAAAAATAATCTTCAACCAAGACCCAAATCTAGCAGTTATTCAGTAACTTTATATTCTAGTCTTACTTCACAATGTTGCTGAAAGATGTCCCCCAAAACTCTTCTATCCTCTGAAAGAAATGAAATCAATGAATTCAAGAAAGTCTTTGAAAAAAAGATCTGAAAATGACCTAATGCAACCCCAAGAAGTATTTAAGTGGGAGTCATGTCACATCTTTAAAAAAATGAGCCAACATATTAAATTAGAAGGCTTCGTATACAAATCCAGATTTCCAGGTTCTCCTGAAAACTTGTCAAGCCTAGCAAAACCAGGCCTGTGTTCTTGTATGACACCTATCAGTTGAACCTGATGATCAGCTACTAGGCTGCACTCACCATTCCCTGGGGCCATTATTGACAGAGAATTAATTTTTCTTTCCATCCTGAGTTTAAAATATATTCTTCTACATCTTATTTATTTTATATACTTAAACCATAGTTCTAATACCACAAAGGTCTGATATATACTGATGATGCTATTTTCCCCACCCATTTCTCCCACTTATATTATCTGCTTGGCTCCAGCATCTGAATTCTGAACCACTTCCCTGAAGGCAACCTTCAGTAAATTAGGTTGCAGCAGGTCTGCACAACCACTAGATGGCGTCCATCTGGCCTTGCTAAACTGGCTTCCCGCAGCCGCTCAGTGTTTTCGATACTGTGCTAACCACACCAGAGTTGCTCTGGAGAAGAAAGCTTTACATGATCAATACAGAAAATTTCTTTTTCAGTAGTTTCCAGGGATAAATGCCGCTCCAGTAAAATTTTACATTGTAAATTATAACTTATATACATTTATGAAATTACATATGTAAGCGATATACATATATGGAATTTTATATATATTATATTTTTATTTATTATATATATTATATTTTTACATGTAAAAATTTATATTTATATATATGAGTGAAAACATGAGAAAACATTCATTTCTGGTGTAATTTCTAATAAATATGCATACGAAAAACAAAATATTGTATAGCAAGAAAGGACACTGGTTTAATATGAAAATATGTGATAATATTTCATTAAAAAGTATTTCTTACTAATACTAGAGTTAGTTAATAGGGAGCCCTAAAACAGAATACTTAGGTCTTAACTCAGACACAGTAAAATCATTTTGAATAGAAGGGTGGGCAGCAGCAAACAATAAGAGGAAAAATCTAGAAATACTAGTCATCTGAGAGTTCATAATCCCTCAGATGAAGTACTATGAAGCTTCAACACAAAGGAGAATGTGATGATTGCTATTTCAGGACTCACCTTACTTTTATTGACCTTCAGATGGAAAATACCAAAGAGAAGGGAATTCTATATTCATTTTGTTTAATGTTATAAACTTATCCTACCACAGATATTTGAATGTAAATTTATAACTTCTATTGATACTCAAAAAGAAAACATTTAACATATATATTGTATCATGTATAGTTTCTCAACTAAAGGAAAAGTTAAATCATGTATCATTCACCCAATCCATATTCATTTTTGCACCTTCTAAGAGTTGTGTTTTAATTTATCCACAATTTAATCATTTTATCACTCACACACACTAAATTTGGCTTTTAGTCTGATGGTAAGAGCAGGACATGCTATGCGATCATGGTCAGGCCATGCTTCTCTGCTAGCATGAGGATAACTGAGCTGTGAAGGAAGCCTGAAGAAACAAAATGAATATACGTATTCTTTTAGATACAACATTATTTGATTCTTCCCAGTAGACACTATATGAATTAATCATTATTTTGGTACTAATTTAAAGCCATTCTAATATATGAGTGTCCTGTTATTGATTCAATTTATACAGTATCTGCTATGTATACTATACTAAAGTCAAGTTTGCAAGTCAGATGCAAAAGAGGAAGACATGGTTCTTAAAGCAAAGAGTCCAGGGAAAAATAATATAAATAAATAGTAATTCCAACATAAGAAAATGCAATAACTGATATTTATGTTATACAAAATGGTATACACATATATTTGGTTTATATGCAACACGTGCTTATTTTAGATACAAGTAAAAACTTTTAATTTTAAAATTATAAAATGCAAACATACTAGTGTAATAATAAAAAAGAATTTTATAATTTTTTTATGTATTCATTTCACAAAATCTTCATTCACAAGCAGTCTGTGGGTTAGTATAATTTCATGATCAAATGACCAGGATATAGATATGAACATTAGGTGAAATTGACCAAGACTATGTTCTGTGGAATAAATTAGCACTTGCTTCACAAACAGCAAGTGTGTCCATCTAAAGAAAATAATGTTTGTATGAGAAAGACAGCGTTGGCGTCCAAATTATAGATAAAAGATAATAATTATGGACAATTTCAGGGCCATGTCAAAGAAAATTATATGAAAGAGAAGACATGAGGAAGCATATTTTCAAGCTGCAATGAAGTCACACTGCAAACCCTGGTCTAATCAATCACAGAAAATGTAACTAATTTAAAATCCAGTGGTAGTATCTGAGAAAACAGTCTTCTTTTCCTGGGATTCTACTAGAAAAATATTCAGAAACCTTCCCTTAGCATGCTATATAAAAACACCCTGAAAGATGGGGAGCAAGCAGGGAATTGATGAGTGGCTGCTCGATAAAAGTTCGAATCAGACTTTTTTCAAACCTAGTAGGTATAGTCAGAGATCCTAGATAAAGGCATATATATGGAATGGCTTCCACAAAGCACAAAGCAATGGTATCCTTTAACTGCCCACATGCAAGCAACTGTTGCTATTGTTAAGGAGATTTTAAGCTAAAGGGTGCTTATTCATTTCTCTCTTGGACCGTTTGTCATCTCTTGGCTTCCAATCTTGCCCACCACAGTTTCTTCTTTGGAGAAATCAAAGTGATGGAGCTTCCTGTCATACTGAGAATAAAACATAGTCTTGATAATGGTGCACAAGGTCCTATGGAATCTGACTCCTGGATGCTCCCCCAACCTCACCTTCTGCCACTTTCTTCTCATGATCTTCCTGGTGCACCCTAATGGTCCAAGTCTGTTTTTGTTCTAGGGCCTCTGCTTCACCTGATTTTCACTCAAATGGGAACATGGCTG